TTTTCTGTGGGTTTTGTTATTTGATGATGATGATGAAGTACCCAGCAAGGGTAGAAATTGATTGAGGTGAATAGATTAGTTGAGTTGTTAGAGATTTGCAAAAGTTGAGGGTTCCATCAAACCTAGGTGTGCTAGGTTCGTTGGAACCCAGGTGCGGGTTCTATGGAACTTAATGACAAAAAATTAAAAAAAAAATTCTTTGTTTTTTCTATGGGTTTTGTTGTTTGATGATGATGAAGAACCCAACAGGTAGAGATTGGTTGAGGTGAATAAATTGATTGAGATATTACAAATTTCCAAAAGTTGAAGAAAGGGAAGAGGAAAGTGAAGAACGAAAAAAAAAAAATTTATTTTGGTCGGTTAGAATTCCAGCTCACAAAGGGTGCAAGCTAAACTTATCAATATGTCAAAAAAGTTTGAGTTGGCGTTGACGTGAATATATGATAGAGATTAATTATTTATGTGCTGCACGTAGTCTTTGGACGTTAAATTTTGCCCCATTTCTCTAAACTCGAAAATGTAGAGGGTAAAAAATCATATATTGTAATATGAGGGGTAAAATGCCTCAAATTTAAAAAGTTGAAGGGCAAACGGAGGGTTTTTGCCAACGTTTGCGAATAGTAGAAGCCCTTTGACATTTTGTGTGAAAAGATGCAAAACCGGGTAAAAGTGTCTGCTATGGGGTAGCATAATTGGGCATCCACTGTACTCCCGTTTTGTATATGATTTGAAGACATTTGTTTCGAGGGATATAATAAATATATATTTTTGTTATTAATTTATGATAAAATATAATTTTATTTCTCTAATTTATTAATTATTTTAATTAAAATTTAATCACTTGATAAAAATATTAATATTTTTTATGTATATTTATAATAAAATATAATTTTTTTTCTCTAATTTATTAATTATTTTAATTAAAATTTAATCACTTGATAAAAATATTAATATTTTTTATGTATATTTATAATAAAAAAATATCTTAAAGATACAGTTTAAAAAAATTATATATTTATGTAGTTGGTGATTACAAATTGTGAAAAGACATTAAGCCCAGCGAAAGGTACCCTTGTGAAGGGGCAATTTCGGCCATTTACTTGGTTTTCACATGCAAAAAAAATGATGGATAGTAATCTAGGGGCAAAACCAAAAGTTAAGCCCTTAAACTAACCCCACGCTATTAAGCCCCCAGATTGTAC